TGTTTTGAGCACGAGAAGTTCAGTTTGGTTCCTGGACATTGACGGCGGTGTGTCAGTTAGTCCAGTTGCTTGCAGCCGTGGGCTCCAGGGAGCCCCCGAAGCTGCGACAAATGGAAGATGACTCTTCTTCAATTTTGTGATCAAAAGCTTCAGGAGAGTTCGGTGTTGACCTCCCACTCTCGCGCCACATTCCGGTCACGCCTAATGGATCAGGGCAGCAGACCCNACCCTGACACCGGCAGCAACTAAGTTACAACCAAGGCCGAAAGGGATGGGAGTTCTAGTGGTAAGTTAGTGATCGGGTAATGGTGACGGGATGGGATATGGAATGGAAAGAATAGAAGATAATAGTAATGGATAAAGAGTGAGAGAAGGTCGGGGAGAGAAAGGGCAAGCAGTGTGGGGAGAACGAGAGAGTGGAGCTGCCGGACAATCACGTTTCTCAGGCGGCTTCTAAGGTGAAAAGGCTTTGCCATGCAGAGTCCAGGCGGGTCTTGAAGCTCTTCACCGAAGTGGAATTGACTACTTCATTGGGTAGTCTGTTCCAGTCGTTCACCACCCTTATGACAAACGATTACTGCCTTATGCGGGTGGATACCCTGACCGTAGCTAACTTAAGGTCATTTCCCCTCAACATTGGGTTCTCGCTGGGTGGTGGTAGTGGTCTCCCTTCTTCCCCAATGTCATACAAACCCTTTAGAAGTTTGAATGCCTCAATCAGGTCTCCCCTCCTTCTTTTCGCCAGTGAGAAGAGCTTGAGCCTCTCCAGCTTGTCCTCATTTCTAAGGTTCCTTATTCCTGGGAACCATCTGGTGAAGTACCGCTGCGTTCTCTTGAGTAATTTTATATCCCCAGCAAGATATGGGCTCCAAGCCTGGACACAGTACTCCAGATTAGGGTGCACAAAAGCCTTGTACAATGGTATTACAACCTCCGGCCTTTTGGAGCTTACTGCTCTCTTCAGTTGGTAGAGAGCTCCTATTGCCTTTCGTGCCACTTGTCGGCGCTGTGCACTCGGTTTGATATCAGCCAGGATCTTAATACCAAGATCCTTGGCCTTCCTCACTACATTCAGTTCACCCCGTGCCTGGTGGGCCGAGACGTCCACCCTGCCCTTCTTCCTGCTGATCGATGTGTTTCTNCAATATTTAGCGGCAAATCCCATGGCACAAACCATTGACTGATCTTGCTTAGATTACTCTGAATAGTCCCAGAGTCGGATCCAATCCAATCTAATCCAATTTTCCAGAACGTGAGGGCCTCGACCTTATGGTTGTCCTAATTCTGGCTTGACCTCGTCTATAGACCGACTGAGCTGTATGTTTGTCCGGCTTGAAGCACGGTTGATAATTCCGGTTAGATCACAGGACTTTAGACTTCGGGCAGTAGACGTCCAGTTTCTTGCACTTGTGCGCTAGTGATTCCCAAAGTGCTGCGACTGCCAGCAGCAGGGTATCCGCCATCCTCCTTCGATCACTTTCCTTTCGGGTCTTTGACTCCCTGAGTATAGGCCCCTCGTTGTTGAGAATGAACACTGTTTGGTTGCAGTTTCTCATCCCCCTGCCAGATAGGGCGTCTAACTCCCTGCTGAACAGGTTTCATTTATTTATTTATGAGTGTCGGGGGTCGTAGGATTTTGCACCCTCTTCTGTAGTGGGCGGTTTTGCCCACCTGTAGAAGCACAGATACCACCAGCTCTGGTCCTCCTAGCCGGTTTCTTCGCTTTTGTTGTATCTACATATATTGACTTACCTTTTGACTGTGAAGCTTTGTTAATCTCTCTAACACTTCCCTGCGTGGTCACAGCTTCAGCATAGCTTTCCGGGGTAACGTTCCCAACTGCGCTTCGTCCTGTGGCCTGTTGTTTATTGATTATGTGAGGAGTTTGCTCCTCGCCTCCTGCCTTAGCACTGAAATTCAGTTCCGCTGCAGTCTTACCTGTTGTGCACATCCACTGGAAGTCTGGGTACTTGCAGAAGAGGCTATACTTTTTTGGTTCGGGTCAGTTTAGTCAGTCATGTCAGTTAATTTCTGGTTGCACAGGATTGATAGTGTCTACAGGCCAATCAAGCGTCGAGAATTCCTTCGTTGGTGTACTCCTGAGTGTGCATTTACCTATGCGATTGATCGGTTTTCCGTACGGTATGTTTGCGCGTGGTTTGAATTTTCACTGTGCTCCATCTCGTGTACACTTTTTGTCTGATACTACTGAAATATCTGTAGATATTTCAATCCAATAGCTCTCCTGCAGCCCTTGTAGTAGCTCTCCGTTTATCAGTATCGTTCGGGNNGCAATTTTTCTGCTTGCACTTTGGTGTTTCACTGGCCTAAAGCATTTTATTTTTGAGTCCGGTAAAGCTTTTTTTACTTTTTTTATCACTCCGTGTCTACTTTTACAGAGTTAGAGAACTATTCATTGAGACATTTTTGTTTAACTTGAAGTGACACAAAGAAAAGGCGTGTTGGGTCAATTATTGCGGAGCCCATTTCACCCAGGGGGTTCAATTCGACGGCTGTGGAGTGTGGTACCACCAGCGATGCTCTCAAATGAGTAAATAAGCGTATCAATTCCACATGGAGCACAAGTACTCCAAGTGGGTTTGTTACCACTGCACAAAACTAACCGAAGAGTTCAGGAGAATTCTGAAGGCACCAGTGGCTCCCCAGAATTAGGATAGGAAACAAAACAGGAAGNTTAGGATAGGAAACAAAACAGGAAGGGGTTACAACTGCGTCATCCCCAAATAGAAGTGCACAAATGATAAAAGTAGGAAACCGGAACAGAATGGCTGAACCACAGACCATGAGGCCTTCAAAGACTAAGAAGACTGATTAAACCTGAGGTTCAGCTTAACTACTCGGAAATGGTATAACGGATTAAGCAATTGGAGAGAGCACTTAACTGACTGAACTTACTGTATCTGTGGAACATATTCCACCTTGGTACACACTCTTACAAGTATTGTGACCACTTGCTCACAATCAGAGCTATTCCTCACCTCGTTTTCGCTCGAGTTATTTGACTAAACCTCATGGCCCATGCTAACCAGGTAGCTGTGTCTACTCTGTCAACTGATGTTCTACCATTACGCGTATCCACCTCCATTTTGGAGCTG